GCAGTCTCCATTTTACCATCGTGTTTACTGTCTTTAGTGCAATGAAAATAGAATGAATGTTTAAATCCACGCTGCAGAAAGCGCTGCTGTTTTCCTCCTCCGGCAAACGAACTGAAATCAGCTGATTGTAGCACAAGTGGAACCGATAGGTGGGATCTATCAGCAGGCAGACTTACAATTCCGGGGAACTGAACTACTGGGAGCCGGTTCTCAATTCCCATCCCTAATGATGAACTAATACCATCTCACACTTGTGTGTGTTCTGCTCCTCATCAGGCTGCTCTGAGATGCTGATGGCCAAGGTTGTGAGTGATCTGGCCAACAGGACGCCAGGAAAGGAGTCGGTTGCCATGGAGTCATTTGCCAAGGCTCTGAGGATGGTAAATACTAAAACTCAGATTCTACAATTGTAAATCATAGGAATTTCTTTGATTACAACCACATGTGACTTTGATCTCAAGTGTCATCATCCGCTTCCTCTTCCAGCTGCCAACCATCATCGCAGACAACGCCGGATACGACAGCGCCGACCTGGTGGCTCAGCTCAGAGCTGCGCATCAGGAGAACAAGACCACGTTTGGACTGAGTGAGTGATGCTCACAGACAAGCACACATCACCTCATCTCAGAACTAGAAGAATAATAACTATAATTATTAACAAACACATGTTTGCGTTATTTTAAAAAAAAAAAAGGTATCAAGGTTTATCCTTGAACCTGTGCTGCTCTACTAACACAGTCAGAACCACAGCTAGCTGCATACCGACTGAATCTAACTTCCTATGAAGATGGGTAAGTGCAGCTAATGCTAGAGAGAAAATATGCATCCTAGAAAGACTAGAACTAATATCATATAAAGAGGATGTCTTGATGCATTCTCAATCATCCAGGAAAATAAATCTCCAAAAGTTGATTCTGTTCATCTGGACGTAGCGTTTTCTGGGAGAAACGTTTCTCCCAGAAAACGCTACGTCCAGATGAACAGAATCAACTTTTGGAGATATAAAGAGGGTGAACATCTTAGAAAGATGGTTAACTATGTGGCTAAAGTGAAGGATGGCCAAATAACTAAGCTAACATTATAAATATCTGACTTTTTTTTAAAAAAAAATTGCTTATTTATTAAGCCAAAGTCCCAGAAGGTTGGCTAATTGTAGCTAAAGTCACATATAGAAAGCCAATTAAAGCTAAAGTCAAAACAGCATGACTACTTAACTGAAGTCATAAACGATTAACATCCTACAAAGATGGTCAACTATAGAAAAGGGCATAGAAAGATGGCAAACATTGAAGAGGAATTGAAAGAGCAATTATGTAGCTAAACACGGAAAAATGTGTAACTACAGCTAAGGTTGTACAGCTAAAGACACTTAACTGTTTCGCTAAACCTAAAAATGGCAGACTAAAGTTAATGTCATAGACAACTAGTATCATAAACATGGTTAACTACCTAAGTAAACTTACGCATAGAAAGCTGACGAAAGACTGTTGTACAGAGGTGTAATATCTTGTTATCTTGCTCGAATGCTTAGCTAAAGTCACAGGATAATGTTGCAGAGACACCTAATCTAGAAAGATTAATAACTATGTAGCTAAAGTCACAGGTGAAAATGCTAACTAAGGCTGTGTGAAATAAAAACGACTAACTGTTTGGCTAAATTCCAAAAAAAGTTAAGTAACGCTGGTGTTATAGACAAAAAGCTAATATCATAAAAGGATAGCAACTGAGCTAAAGCCACAAAAAGACAACCAACTACCACTTGCACCATAAAAAGGTAGCTAACATCTTACAAAGAAGGCTAACTACCTAGCTTAAATCACATTTTATTGTGAATAATTCAAACTGCTGACTAGCTTAGCATGCCTGTTTCTCCTGTTTTATTCTTGTGATTTGGTGGTTAAGCAGCTGTTAGATTCTAACAGCATCTGTGTTTCCCCGCAGACATGTCTGATGGCACGGTGGGAAACATGGTAGATCTCTGCATCACAGAGTCGTTCCAAGTGAAGCGCCAGATGTTGCTGAGCGCGTCTGAGGCCGCCGAGATGATCCTAAGAGTGGACAACATCATCAAAGCTGCACCCAGGTCAGTTCAGTCCTTTTCAGATCATCTGCGTTTGTTTGTACCAGATTACAGAAATTTACTCTTCATCTCTGTTCTGTAGGAAGAGAGTTCCCGACCATCACCCCTGCTAGAGGAAGAGGAGGATGCGAAAAAACAAACGGGGATCACTTTAGTTATTTATCACTTCTGTGTAGTTCAAATTACATCAAATTGTCAATTTTTTTTCTCTGTTGAATTGGCCGATGCTAACCACCAGACACAGCTAACATCAGTGGCTCTGCTAATGCTAGCTTATGCTGTGCAGTTTCAGCATAAAGTGAAGATGAGAAGTCTTCACACTGTTTTGTTTTTTATGCTAACATTAGCTGAGCTGTTGGCCGAGGCTGGTTGGTGCCAGCTACGCTTAGGAAAGAAGTTTGAACGTTGTTTTGTTTACTGAATAAATGAACCGGTCACCTGATTCTTTTGTTGCTGTTATTTATTTCGTTTTTCATTCTTTGGCATTTATATTTAACATTTTCCAAATAATAGAAGTAATCACTGCAACTGAAAAATCTGAAGCAGATTTAATCTTGTATAATTAGTCAGACTGTACATTAGGTTGGTGCAGGTTTCTAGATGTCTGATGAGTTGTTCTACTGAGATCAGCAGCTTGGAAACAGTAGGACTATCACTCATTTTCAAGGTAATGCATTTATTGGTTACTTTATTAGTTACATTTCGCTGTTACCTGGCTTTACCTTTGCCTTCAGAACTGCCTCAGATATTTTGGCCCATGTTAACATGATTCCATCGCACAGCTGCAGTCATGCATCAGTACATTTCACATTCATGATGCAATTCTCTCATTCTGCAACATCCCAAAGCTGTTGGATGGCCATCTGGTGACTGTGACATCATCTATGACTGGCTGATGTGACAGTTGTATTAACATGTCGTTGAGCATGTGCACGTAATCAGTACTTTTATATATAAAGATGTAAAATATATACAGATTTATTTATGATCAGCTGTTGTGGTGAGACACTCCAGAAATTGCATTTCATAACCTGGAAATGAGCAAGCAGAAGATCAGGAGTGCTGATTATTGATTGATCTGCAGTAACTTACTGAGGTCAAAGTGACTAAGACCTCAGAGTGTCAACAGTTACTCAATCAGACTTAACCACACAGATGGCTTTTCATAGGAAAATGTTTAACCTTTAAAACTAGAAAAAAAAATTGCTCATTCGGTGCCAGAAAACACATAAAATGCTACTGTTGTTGTCATAAAGCACACCCAGGGTTTGTTTGTTTGTTTTCTTGTAAAGGGGGTTCTGTAATTTTAGAAAGTTTACATTTACACGAGGAGTGAAGGTCACTTCTGTTTTTTGCTCATTCAGATTGAAGATGTTTAGAGGTATCTGGGATTGTATCTCAGCAAGGCTGTTCTTGGGAGGAGGGTAGGTTTGTGAGTCATCTGAATAACAGTGTGAGGGGAGCAGGTGATGCTGAAAAGCCACCCACAGAAAAAACGTCTGCTGGTTAAAATACGATTTAAACCGCTAAAGAGCAGTTCCTGTAATGCTTTCACAACTCTCCAGTCTACAGACAAGAATACAATAATCCACTGTGTGTAATGCAGCACTTGGATCTGAAAGTAGCAAGTACCCAATCCTGGAGCTGAAGCTGGTGACAAACGACAGAGAACAAGAGTTTGGAGATCATTAAAAGCAGTATGGCATGTTTAAAGTCAGCTGGAACATTCCCAGTCAGAAGATGGGCGTAATAATGGACAACACTCAGCCCAACAGTTTAAAAATACTAATTTAATATAATATTAGTCTAATAACATCCTGGTAAGATGGTGTCATCCATCTGACCATATCTTGATGACAGGGTGCTAAGTTACCAGCTAAAAGTGCCAGTATACCCACCATGTTACTCGCATGCCGTCTGTGACATCATTACACATCGATTTCTGCTGTTCTGGCCGCTGAGTCTCCTGAACAGTAGGTGTCAGCACCAGATGGTAGCGCCACATTAACATTGGTTTAAAAAAACGGGAAGATTTAATAACTGGGAGCAAAGCTTTTTTCATCTTTGAATCTCTATGAGTCTCTGAGCGTACTGTACTGATAAATCATTAAAATCAACACTACTTTACACTCGTGCCTTCAACCCAGCGGCAGCAGTAAAAGCACAACGCGCCATGTTACAAAAATCAAGAGTTGTTTAACTTGTAGAAATGGTTGCTATGCATATGATGTCAATTTGATGCCAACTTTATCGTACATCGCAGTTAACAAGCCACTGGGCACTGGCCCACTGCAGGGCGGGTATAAAATTTAGCGGGCTTCATTAGTAACATTCAGAAAAATGTTTGGTCCCCTCTGGTGGCCATAACAGAGGTCCAGTTCAGGGACTCCAGCTAGCTGAAGTTAAATCTAGCAGACAGTCAGCAGCTTCAGCCGTGTCACCATCCACCTGTCAGTCAAAGAGGTCACGCCTCTAATAATGCAAACTCTAACTTTATACAATTGAATTTGTAAACCTGTTTAAATTATTTAAAAAGGTTTACATATAAAGGGGAAATCAAACGTCTTTTTTTCTGCTGTAAAGTTTTAACATGGGAGTCTAAGGGGCTCAAGTCAGGTTGCTAGTTTAATAATAAAAAATAATACGTAAAAAAAGCCTTGACCTCCCAGATTTGGACATATACTGTATTGGTAGCTGAGAGAGCCATGGATGACTTAAATACTTGTTGATCCACGTAATCTAAAATCTTATGTGATCAAATAACTGAATAATAAAGACTTCTTCTGTCTGTTTAAGCTTTTTGGGGTGGACCTTCTCACAGTTTATTCACAGACTCAGATCCAATCAGACTTACAGTTCAGTCTGATAAACGTCCCCATCGGGTGCCAAACAGCAGTCTCTCAGACTGGCAGATACAGACATGTTCAGGCTGCTGCTCCTGCTGTTTTTAACATGGATGACCTCAGCGCTGGTCAGGTAGGATAATTACACCTTTGTTAATATGGTTGTTCTCTTTATATTAACAGCTGTGCAGCCACCAGGGATTTAACAATATAAAGTCTGCTTTTCTTCTTTGTTGTACATTTATCAAGGTGCTGCTTAGTGGACCTTCCTCTGTTGAGCCAAAACTAGGCCAACTGTTTTCAAATCAAAAAAGACAATTTGATATAAAAAGTTTTAAAATTAAAAAAAAAAAAAAACTTACAGAGATACTAAAATGTTCCATCGTCAGCATACCTCTTAGACGGACGCGCTCAATTCGTACTCGATTGCGAGCTGATGGCCTGCTGAATGAGTTCCTGAAGGATCACGCCCCTGACATGATTAACCGCCGTTACGCTCAGTGCTTCCCGTCCAGCACGCCGTCACTGAGGCTCGGACGCACCAGCGAGAGGATCTACAACTTCATGGATGTAAGAAGAACAACACTGAGAGTCAGGGTTGCTGGTTCAAAGCCTTCAGCTATTATTAAAATATCCAGTGAGAAGTTTTAACCTTGTTACAGTGATTTAAATATTCCTCTAGGGATCAGTGTTGTCCATAAATATGCTGATTTAAGAATGATTATCAGAATTGAGGGAAAGTTGCTCAGTTCTGAAATATCAGTATGTCCTAAGTATGCAACTCAAGTTGGACAGAAGCAGTATTAAGTATTATTACAGAAGCAGAAATAAAATAAGGAAAAAGTGATCATATGTACTGCATTTCCATTCTTTATGTCCTCACAAGATATATGTCCCCAAAGTAAGATGTAGTTATTTCCTACATATAGAAGCTTTAAAATGAAAACAACACAGCCCAGTTTACTGAATAGAAACTAACTTATCTAATTTATACTATCAAAACAAAGGGAGTGCCAAGCTGGCCAAAATATGTTAGCATACATGCTAACATTAGCATGAGCATGTCACAACCGGCTACCTTTTTATTTATCTCAGAATTTTTCAAATTAAAATCTCAGCCACACTTTGTGCCCCTGCTGCGTTTCAGGCTCAGTTTTATGGTGAGATCAGTTTGGGGACTCCAGAGCAGAACTTTTCTGTGATTTTTGACACCGGATCAGCTGACCTCTGGGTGCCATCATCCTACTGCATCAGCGAGGCCTGCGGTAACACCTTACATAGCACCACACAATACCACACAACACCAGTGTTGCATTTGCAGGTCAGGGCAGCCTGACTTTGGTTAATTTTGTTCCAGTCTGATAAGAAGTTCAAAGTCTGTGTGTGTACTTGTATAAAGATGTTGTAGGGACATAAATCTGACAAAGGCAAGTCTACATGAAGTAAATAACATGTAATGAATATAAGAAAAGGTAATGTCTGTGTGTGTGTTTGCATTCACAGCGCTCCACAAGCGTTTCAAGGCATTTAAATCAGCTTCGTTCAGGCATGATGGTCGGAGATTTGGGATTCACTACGGATCAGGTCACCTGCTTGGAACTATGGCCAGAGACACACTGAAGGTCCAAAAGCTCTCAAAATTAAAAAGCTAAACTTCAGTATTAAAATTAACTAACAGCTGCCACGATTAATTTCAAAAATATTTTCATCCATCAAACTCAGTTTGACATTCAGGCACAACTAAAGAAGTACTGTTTTATCTTAATCAACTTGTTCCAGATTGGTGATCTAACCATCCTGAACCAAGAGTTTGGGGAGTCCGTTTACGAACCTAGTGAATCATTCCTGACGGCGAAGTTTGACGGTGTTCTGGGAATGAGTTACCAATCCCTTGCAGAGGTTCTGGGCACCAATGTTTTTGACAACATGATTGCACAGAAGCTAGTGGACCAGCCAGTGTTCTCCTTTTACCTGAGCAGGTGCATTCATATCAGGAGCTCACAATTTCACCTCAATTAGATGCTCATTGTCAGGCTCAGAGGTGCATGAGAGGGAGGATAATTACTTCTTCCTGTCTGTTAACCTCTTACTACCCACCTGGTTGTTGGCAGCCCTGCTGAAAATATGGATGGGTTTACTCTTACATTGTAGATGTTAAGAGGGTTTATTTTTAGAATTTCTGGGCAAGCAACTTTAAAAATCATGCTTTGAAACAGGCAGAAGTTTCACAACAAGTTCTTAAGTATTGATAGAGTTTTGGTTGGTCAAGAGGTAAAGGCAGAGCAAGAGATAACCACAGAGAACTGAAAAGGTCAAGGGTAACCAGGAAGTTCAAAGGGGTTTTACTGTGAGCTGTGGAGATGAGAGTTTTTCCCAAGGTTTCAGTTTTTTAAATAGGGTCTGCCTAGTCTGTGTCTAGGTCCAAGACTTATAGACTTCCTACCATCTACAGTGATATCAGAACAAATCCGCTTGGCTTCGCTGACAAGAGCATCTGGTGAGCGGTGTTTCAGAGATACTTGATGTTTAGGGAGGTCTTATGGCTTCTAAGTATGCTTAAGTACGACAGGGTAATTCTACAATTTCGATCATAGACATGATAGGATAAAGAAGAACAATCACCAGGTGAACCAGGAAGATCCATATGGTTGTAATTATTTAAGCATTTCTCCAGTGTTTCAGGGGTCCAGTCCAAGAGTATCTGGTTAGGCACTCGACAGAGATGCTGTACTTCTTGAGGGATATAAATGTGTTTGTTGTTTTTAATATGAGAGTTTTTATCTTTTGTTTACTTAAATGTGAGTTTTGTGCCCACAGAAAAACTAGCCGTACCAATCCAGCAGGGGAACTGTTGTTAGGTGGAACAAACGAAGCGCTGTATATTGGACCAATCAACTGGCATCCTGTCACTGCCAAGGGGTATTGGCAGATCAAGATGGACAGGTACATTTTTCATATCCCAACAGCACAGTACTTTGGCAGTGTACTATGAACCACTTGCAGTACACTCTCAGAAATAGGGGTACCAAAGTGTACCAAAAAGGGTACAAATGCTTGTCGCTGGGGGTGTTCCTTTTTGAGGGACATTTCTGTACCCTT